GATGAAATGTCAAAGAATAATTTGATCTATTAATAGATAAAAGACTACACTTCCATGCCAGTAACTTCTAAACTTCTGATCTGTCTTTCCCTTTCATGTTTCTTCAAGGGAATTGAAAAATAAAATGGACAGTTCAGGCTGAATGAGATCAACTTCAGTTGAAGTATAACTTTATTCCTATATAGTAGCAACAGGCTCTATGAATGTTCTTTGGAATGGCAAAATATGCTAGCATACTTTTGTTTTCCTTTTTTGTTGTTGGGATACTCATCTGTCCAAAATATTTGTTAATGTCCAAATGAATATGAACATAATTTCCCTTTTGGAAACTGTTTAATTGCTATACTATATACAAAAATGATATGACTTATATGTATCAACAGATGTTCAAACAAGATGAATTCAAAAATTCTAGACTTTGTGGAATAGTCTACTGTTGAAAAAGCTAAATATAAGTAAATTTCTGAGGTAGGTCTCTAGAAAAGAGAGAGAGAAACAATTATATCAACCTAAAAGAATTACAGAATTTCATTAATGTTATAAGTCCTCTAAGGACCTCTTAGGAAACATGATTATCAAATAGTATTAAAATATTATACTAGGCTTAGAGCTAGCTCGTGAAATATTTAATAACATGCAACTAATATATATAAATATAATACAATGTTTTGTCATATATACTACATCAATGAAGCCACCAGAGCTACTTAAAATACCACCAAAAATATACCCATTTTCAAAGCTATAAGTCTTCCTCTTTTTACAGTAACCATTTCCTTAAAAAGACAGTTGTTTTGAGCTGCAAGATGGCTTTTGTGCAGCCAAGTAGGCCAAACAAGTCCACAACCATCTGAAAACTAGTTAAAATAAGTTTAGATGCATCTTTAACCACAGATTATTCAGAAAAAAACTACCATAAAGCATTTTTTCTTCACTAAAATAATCATTACTAAGTATATTTAGGATAAAATTTACTCCCTTACAGTTAATGTAAGATTTCTCAATATATGATTTACACATGTTATCCACTTCCACTTATATCTCTGTCCCTGTTTACTTTCAAAGCTTTCAAATTTAAAAATATACATGGCCATATTTAGTCCCTTAGTTGATTAATTATTATTAGCTTAACCCACTGACTAAACAGTCCTTAGCCTGAAATGACAAGGTCTAGGAAAATGGCAGTCTAAGACCCTATTTGAATCTGTGGGGTGGCCAAGGAGATAGGGCTCAAATTGCACACAGATCACTGCATAGGAGAAATTATAGACTAAATAAGGATGTTTAGATAGCAGACGAATTCATCAGACAGAAGGCCAGTGACCAGGTTTCACAGAACACTTACAGAGCAGACACATACCCCTGACACAGAAGACACAAGATGTAATGAGATTCCTACTTGATTTATCTTCATGTTCACTAACTCTTTTCTTCTGTCATCGCTATGCTGCTATTGAGCCCATGCAGTAAATCTGTATTTCACATACTGTATTTTTCAGTTCCAAAATTCCCATGTGATTCTTTTTTATAGTTTCTATTTTTCAGAGGAGAATTATTTTCCCCACTCAGTTCAAGAATATTTGCTTTTGGCCGGGCATGGTGGCTCACACCTGTAATCCTAGCACTAAGGGAGGCCGAGGCGGGAGGATTGCTTGAGGTCAGGAGTTCGAGACCAGCCTGAGCAAGAGCGAGACCCCATCTCTACTAAACATAGAAAAAAAATTAGCCATTCAACTAAAAATAGAAAAAAAAAATTAGCCAGGCATGGTGGCTCGCGCCTGTAGTTCCAGCTACTCGGGAGGCTGAGGCAGGAGGATCACTTGCACCCAGGAGTTTGAAGTTGCTGTGAGCTAGGCTGACACCATGGCACTCACTCTAGCCCGAGCAGCAAAGCAAGACTCTATCTCAAAAAAAAAAAAAAAAAAAAAGAAAAGAAAAGAATATTTGCTTTTAACTCATAAGCATGAGTTACTTTAAGGTGTTTTTATTATGATTCCATCATCGGAATTATCTTCTAAGGACTGGCATCTGCTTTGTCTTTTCCCTTAAACATGTTTAGATATTCTTGTTTCTTCGTATTGGTAAGTAAGTGTGGATTATATTCTGGACATTCTGGATATCAGGTTATAAGACTATAGGTTCTATAAACATCCTCTGGAAAATTTGATTTTTTGTATTTATGTTTTATACTGCAAGTTCTGTCTTGCCTCCTCTGGGTAGTGCTTTCAACGTCAGTTCAGTTTTCAAAGCCTTGAGTATGCTGCTTGAGTTTATTTTTAGGGACATCACTTAGAGATAAGTCTGGGATTTGAGCAGTGATTTATATCATAGTTTAGTTCTCTAAGTCTTTACTAGAGTCTTTACTAGAGACTTCTTTAGTGCTGTGTTTCTGTGGGTCTGTTCCGTGTACGCATAGCACATGGATGAGGTAGGACCTTTGTGGGTTCATACACACAATTAGGGAATCACCTCCCATATTAACTCTCTTCTCTCTGGGATTTCCAAAGCATGCCTCAGCTTCCAGTGGCCTCTTTCCCAATTCCTCTGGCCAGAGAGATGATTTTCTCTTGGAGTCTTAAGTGTTTGTGCCATTGTGACAATGTAACTTTATAAGTGGGCCTGGTTGCAGAGCTGGGAGAGAAAAAAAAAAAAAAGAGGAAGACCCTTTTCTTTATCCAATGGCTAGAAATAAGGAGTTTCTCTTAGAGTATTTGCTAAGGGCTCTACCCAATATGTAGTTCTACAATACAGCCTACCATTTAGTTAAAGTTGGGTCACAGAAAGGAAAAAATGGTAGGCGCACCACTATATAAGCTGTTTTCAAGTTTTGACTTCCCTTCCCAATTTTCCTTCTACTGTTTACTTTTCAGTCTTCAGATAGTTACTGGTTGTATTCTACCCAGAGTTTTTAGTTCTAAAAAGAGACACAGGCTTACTCCATTTTGGCCTATCCATTATATTTTATCCAATTCCCAACTAATTTTTGCCTAATAGCTTTAGTAGTCATGACTGATCATTATCTCGATTCATTATTTCATTAGGACTTGCACGGTGTTGAGTTTCTAAGCCTAACATTCTCTAGCGTTTCTTAACCATAATTCTTCTAAAGCTAAGCTTTCCCCCTTAACTATTTGGTAATCCTGAAATATAATCTGTACAGAAAAAGATAAATAAATGGTTGGCATTTTTCTTTTCATTTACAAATTATTTTAAGAATAGTGAATTGGTGATTATGAGAGTTTTTAAAAATAATTATGAATTCTTCGATTCTTACATATTTGTGTATTTCAATCTACTACAATCATTACACTTTTTAAAACCTATTTTTATGGGAAATTATAAAGTAAAAAGAATAATATAATTAATCCCACATATTCATCACTCAGTTTCAACAATTATCAACACATAGCTAATCTTCATCTATTCTGTCCTTTCTCATTCCTCCTCGTCCCTTTGGATTATTAGAAGCAAATCTCAAATACTATATCATGTCATCTGTAAATAGTCTAGCATGTACATATAAATTACAAGGATTTTTAAAAAACATAACCACAACATCATACCCTAAAAAGTTTTCAAAAAGATGTATAAGAATTCTACACACAAAATAAAACATTCTGAGAGAAATTATAAAAATGTCTAAATATCTGGAGGTATACAACCTCATTAATGTCTCATACTGAAAGATGTCCAACATATCCAAATTGATCTACGGACTCTACATTAAACTAGTCAAAATCCCAGCAAGTTTGGGCAGGGGGGAAGGGGTTGCTGAAAAGCTAAGTGAAAAATTTTTACTAAAATTCAAAGGACCAAGAAAAATGAAGGCCATTCTGAAGAAAAAAGTTAGAGAATTTAAACTATCAGGTATTAAGACTAATTATAAAGCTCCAATAATTAAAAGAGTATAGCACTGGCACAACAAGACCAATGGAACAGAATAGAGTCCAACAATAAATTTATGAATAAACAGCCACCTGAATTACAACAAAAGCATTCTTGCATTATAGTAAAGAAAGGACAATCTTTTCAACAAATATTAATACTACTGTAACTGGATTTCTATATGGAAAATAAAATAAACCCCGAAGCCTACCATATACTATATATAACCCTAAATGCAGCAGTTAAAACAGTCAAGTTTATAAAAGAAAACAGAAGAATATCTTCTTGGCAAAGATTTCTTACACAAAACACAAAAGCACTAACCACAGAAGAATAATTTGGTAAAACAGACTTAATTAAAATTAAGAAATTATCTTAATCAAGACACACTATTAAAAGAGTGAAGAAGCAAGCCAAACACTAGGAAAGATATCTTTAATACTTAATCCAACAAACAACTGAAATTATCTATTTCTAGGGTAATCAAGAACCCAATAGAAAAATGGGCAAAAGTCAGGCATTTCTCAAAAAAGGATATTCAAATGGTCAACAGGCATTTGAATATGTGAACTTTTAAGTCATTGGGGAACTATGAATAAAAACAACATTACATTTTCACTACATATGTACCAAGGGAGCTAAAATTTAATTTAAAATACTAATAATTTCAAGCTTTGGTGAGGATGTGGAGCAATCAGAACTCTTGTACACTACTGATGAAAGTGTAAATTGATTTAACTGCTTTGGAAAATTAGTAGAATCTGCTAAAGCTAAACAGCCAAATAGCCTATGACTCAGCAATTTCACTCTCAGGTGTTTACCAAATAGAAATGTGTATCCATACGGACCAAAAGACATGCTCAAGAATGTTCTTGCAGATTATTCATAACAGCCAAAAGCTGGCAACAGCCCAAATGTTCATCAGAGTAAAATGGATAAATTGCGATATATCCATACAATGAGGTGTTTCACACCAATGAAAGAAAAGATGAACTACTGCCACATGCATCAACATGGATAACTCATAAACAAGATCAAAAAAAGCCAGACACAGAATTCAAAATTAAACAATACTAAATGAATAGTGAATGAAGTCACATCACAATAATAGTTACCTTTGGAAGGGTGTGATAATTGTCAGGGGACATGAAGGAGGCTCCTGGGTTGATGAAAATGTCCTATATCTTGTTCTTGATAATGGTTAAACAGGTGTTGACTTCATAAAATTTCATCAAAATGACACTCAGGATTTATGTACTTTATAGTATATGTGTTATAATCCAACAGAAGAGCAAAAGAAAAGTTAGCAATACCATATCAGTCCCTTGTTGTTGTTTTTTTAATTTAATTCTTTTGTTGTTGTTATATCACTTGTCCATAAAATTTAAAAGTTTAGTAAAGCTAAATTCCTACATATCAGTCTACCTCTTACTTGGGTGGTAAAGGTCATATTTATTTCCTTTCTCATCACTATTACTAAAGAATCGTCTTGGTATATGCATCCTTTCAATATCATGAGGGCAACAGAAAGTCTAGTTTGAAGCTAAAGCTATCCACTACATACAAACTAGAAAATTCTAACATGGCAGATTTTCTTAATGTAAATATAAATGATAGATTTTTCTTTATTAAGTTCCAGATCACTGATTTCCACAGTATCTATTTGGCAAAAAGAGGTTAAGAAAACTAGAGGCTTATGAAGCTTAGCATCTAAGCCTAGTTTTAGTTAGAATTGAAAACACTCAACAAATCAAGGCAATGTGTCACCATAAGGTTGTTATGAGAATGAAATAAATTATTAAAATGTAAAGTGCTTAGAATGTAATGCTTGGAACAAAGGCATTATAAAATTTTTAAATGCTCAAAAAAGGTCTGCAATTATTAATACCATTCTGAGAAACACTATAATAGATACTTATTCTTGAATTTCCTTCAAAATATGACAAATGTATGATACTAAAACCAGACCCACTTTTAAACAAAGCATTTTTATGGAGCTAAGGGAATACTTAATAGATTTTTAAAGCAACTAGCTGAAGTGAACATTAAAGTACAGAATAAAGATTTAATAAGTTGTACCTAGAATTTTTAATGTTCTAAATTATGCTAGTTGGTATTTATCACCTTATGATTGAAATAACTGATGAGACAATCAGGAAAAATACTGCTAATATAAAGATCTTATCTCTGCATAGCATTTTTTACATTTGTAAAGTTGTACTTCATTTTATCACATTATTATAAAATAATTAAACTTATTTTATAAAACTATTCGTAAGTCATAAACTCATTAAATCTAGTAAAGAATCACAGAACAAGGCATCTACGCTGTGGCCATAATAGTAAAACATCCAATAAAAAAAATTCAGCTCAATAATAGTACCATCATGTAAACAAGAGTATGTGTGAAAGCCGTTTGAAAAAGAAAATACAAAGACTATAAATGCATTTTTAATGGAAGTAAATGTTAATTTAAAAGTAACAGTAACTGGACATAATTTCCAGTTTATATATATCTGCTAAAAATGTTTCTTTAAACTTTTTACATGGAATCATTGAAACATCCAGAATAAAGAACTCCCGCATATGCTTTATCCAGAGTCACCAATTGTCAACATTTTTCATTTTCTTTCATCACATAAAAACATGTTTTCTGAACCATTTGAGAGTAAGATGTATCGTGTCCTTTTACCTCTAAACACTTCAATTGTACCTCCTAAGAACAAAGACATTCTCTTAAATAAACACAGTATAATTACCAACTTTAGGAAATTTAACAATTATAAAATATTTTAATGCGATGCCTATTTTCCAGTTTCTTTAATTGAGAAAAAAATGTTCTCTAGAACTTTTTTCCTCCTCCAGCACAGAATCCAGTCCAGGGTCATGCACTACATTTAGCTGTCATGTCTACCTAGACTCCTTTAATCTGGAACAGTTTTCCTCCACTAAGTATCCTTTGTTTTGCTTTGAAACTGGGTCTCACTACGTTGCCTGAGCTGGGCTAAAGCAATCCTCCCGCTCAGCCTCTTGAGTAGCTGGGAGTACCTTTTAAACCATCTTCTTTTTACATGGTATCATGCAAGATTGTAAAATTTGAGTTCTTAAACTATATAGGGAAGTTCCATTAAAAAGAAAAAAAAAGCAGGTAAGGAGTTGGGAAAAGTTCAGAAAACTTAGATAAAAATATGTAAATCTTCTTATCCAACAGTGGCTTTTGGTATGCAGTCTATACACTTTGAAGCTTTATAGTGAGGAGGCTTCTAGGTTTCTTTGAGATCGGCAGTTCTTAGATTAGTGGTTTATCTTCTCTCTTAAGATTTCAAAAAATAACGTATCATCAATTTATACAAATAAATCTGGCCAATGATTTGATGGCTATTTGTAAAGAATAGATCTAAGAAAATTACTGCTTTCACCAAAATTCTCTCCTCCAGTTAACAAAAACACACAACCCCAATAAGCAACCCTTTAAAGAAAACAGAATTACTGTGACCATGCACAGATATAATAGATATTGGAATTAGAACATACTTTGTTCTTTCACTCAACAAACATTTACTATGTGCCAACAATGTACCAGGCTTATACTAGCTGTGGGGATCCAGTGGTGAACCAAGAAAGCATGGTACCCACTTTTACAAAACTTGTAATTTATCAAACCACCAAGACTCTTCCTCTTTCAGACAGGAAAGATAATTTTTCCCTATTTTACAGATGAAGCAACTGGATTCTGAGTGGTAATGTGCCCTGAGTCACATAAGTGTACTAAGCATTCTAGAGCTGAGCTCCCCAAACCCCTGGGCCGCAGCCCAGTAACCAGTCTGTGGCCTGGTAGAGACAAGGTCACAGAGCTCCTCCCTCAGCCTGGTCCGTGGAAAAATTGTCTTCCATGAAACCAGTCCCTGGTGCCAGAAAGGTTGGGGACTGCTCTTCTAGAAGGACAAGAAGAGTTAACACTAAACTCACAGTCTTATATCCCCTAATATAACGCTTAACCTGCCTATGTCTGAATATAGAAGAATTCCTTAACGATATCCTCAAAGCCTATCTATTGACTCCAAAGGGACAGTGTACCTTCGTCCCCAATGTACTAGTTTCGTTTCACTCAGTCATCAACTAGTTCCCAAATAATGTATTCATGCTTTCACTTAAAAAATAAAAATAAGTGTTTCCACACATTAGAAAAAACCCAGAAACTGTACACAAGGTATAGTCTTTGGGTGCTTAAGATATTATGGTAACATTAAAACCTGGTAAAAACTGATTAGTACCATACTAATTTTTTTTTCTACATATACCCATTTAGATTCATTTTAGAAGAAAAATAATAGGAGACTCGATTTCTCCTGGTTTATTTTTCTATTTCAAAACAGGAACACAGGTTAATCTAATTAGTATGAGTTATACTTTAAGGAAAGAAAAAAGTCCAACTAAGTCAGTGAGAACTGGCACTGACTCCTATCCCCCTGTAATTTCCCTTCAACCCTAGGACTCAATCTATAAATACTTTTCCAACCATAGAGAGCAGGGGTCACCTAACTTATTCTGTTGTACGATACATGTTTTTTGCTTTCTGGGGCCTAAGGTCTTTGCTGTGACTACAGCCATGCCTCACTTAACAATGGGGACACATATTCTGTGAAAGGTGGTGTTCAACAACTTAACATTGGATGACTATCACAGAGTGTACTTATACAAACCTAGATGGTATAGCCGACTAAATACCTAGCCTATATGGTACAGACCAGGGGTCCTCAAAGTTTTTCAACAGGGGGCCAATTCACTGTCCCTCAGACCAGGACAGTGGAGGGCCAGACTATAGTTTTAAAAAAACTATGAACAAATTCCTATGCACACTGCACATATCTTATTTTGAAGCAAAAAAACAAACGGGCAAAAACACCCACATGTGGCCCGTGGGCCATAGTTTGAGGACGCCTGGTATAGACTATTGCTCCTCAACTACAAAGCTATATAGCATGTTACTGTACCGAGTACTACTGGTAACTGTAACACAATGGTTAAGTATTTTTGTATCTAAACATAGAAAAGGTAACGTGTTGTGCTACAATGTCCAGGTGGCTATGATGTCACGAGGAGAAAGGAATTTTCCAGCTCCATTATCATCTTACAGGACACATATCACATGTATCATTGACTGAAACACCATTACGCAGAGCATGACTGTACTTAACTACCACTATAGCCTGAGAGCGGTCATAGACAATACGTAAAAAACAGGAGTGGCTATATTCTAGCAAAGCTTTGTTCATGAATACTGAATCTAAATTTCATATAACTTTCATATATCATAAATTAGTATCCTTCCTTAAGATTTTTTCCAACCAATTAAAAATGCAAACAGCACTCTTAGTTCAAGGATCATACAAAAGCAGGCATTACAGCTTTGGTAGTGTGTAAACCACTAATCAAGCCCTCTTGTAAACCAGAGCTGCAGTGGGTAACTGTCCTTTCTTTACCTCAGTCAACTGACACTTTCCCTCTAAACCTAGGACTTGACAGGAAATAAATTTTATTCTACTTTCAGTCATTTGCAAATTACCTTCATCTCAGAAAAAGATAGGAAGTTATAATTCTTATGTCTGAGCAGTAATTTTGAGAAATTTCAGTAATTGCTAAAAATAAAATACATATAGATTTCAATTATTTTTTCCCAATGAGTAACTCTTTCACTCCTCATATTCTAAAGATAAATAAAAGCTGTCAAGGAAAGTAGCAGATCATGCCCCATGACTAAGGAAAAAAACAAAAACAAAACCCAAAACAAAGATGGCATACCTCTGAGCTCAAACTGAAGACTGAAGGTATCTAGTGAAACTCACCAAGTTCTAATGATTCGTCTCTTAAGAGAATTGTAGAATTTTCCAAAGGCATAATACATGTGACAGAATCAGCTTCTAAGTTTCAGCAGCCTTCAGGAAAAAATAAAATAAAAATTCTGTAAAACAAGGGCAGTTGCTGAAATAATGCTAAGGAAATTCTAAGTAACATTACTTCCAGTATTTTTTTTTCATCCATATATAGAATACTGATTGGAAGCAGTCTCTATGTGCCAAGAATTGGGAATATGGCAATAAACAGGCAAGGTCCCATCAACCCCTCTGGGAACTCAGTCTGCAGGACAACTGTAAATGGGATGAAAAGCTTGAAAAACCATGATGGTGTGAAGGAAAAAGCATGACAAACATACAAATGAGTCTACTGGGAATTAGAAACATTCTCCTAGAAGAGGAGCACTTAATGCAGGCATGTGCATGATCTATCCAGCCAAATAAAGCAAGAAGGGAGAGGTGAGAAAGAACAACTTTTGCCCAAAAGTGAACAGTATGTTCAGACATAAGTGAAAATATGACATTTGTACGGCAGTAAAAGAAGTCCAGTGTGGCTGCTCAGAATGGAAAAGGGAATGAGAAAAGGCTTTCTCTGAGACGAGATGGGCAAAGAAAATAACAGGTAACACAATTTGTCCTGAATCAGGGCTAGAAGGCAGAGCCCATTTTAAAACCTCACCACTTGACTGCAATACACTAGTCATTCTGATGCTCTGGGAGGGAAGATCAGAGAAAGTTCCTGGAGAGGAATTTCAGGGAGGACTGTCCTGGGCCAACAGCCAGTTTCCCTATGGATGGATGAAAGAATCAACTGACCATCAGGGGTCCACTGTGTAGAATAATGAGGAAAATGTCAGTCTCAGCAAAATTCTTACTTGCTTTTTTTTTTTTTTTAAGAGATGGAGTCTCCAGGCTGGAGTCCAGTAGCACAATGATAGTTCACTGCAACCTAAAACTCTTGGGCTCAGGCAATCCTCCCTCCTCAGCCTTCCAAGTTTCTATTTTATAATCCGTCTTCCACTTTACAAGAGAAAGATATACATCTTACACATTTTGCTATAGCAGATTTTCCTGAAGTTTTAAAATATCCAGAATATAAATCTAGAGTTCAAGATCAGCCTGAGCAACACAGCAAGGGACTATCTCTACAAAAAATAGAGAAATTAGCCAGGCATGGTGGCACATGCCTGTAGTCCCAACTGCTCAGGAGGCTGAGGTAAGAGGATCACTTGAGCCAGGGAGTCTGAAGTTGCAGTGAACTGTGATGCCACTGCACTCTACCTAGCCTGGGCAACAGAGTAAGGAGCAAGCCTGTCTCAAAAAAAAATTTTTTAAAAAGAAAAAAGAAAAAAAAGCAGCACTAGAAAAACTAATTTGAATTTTAAATACAATTACAGTAATTTATGTTCCTAATTTATGTCATATAAATTCAAATCTTTATATTTCATAGAGCCCACTGTACCAGTTTTAGATTTTTGTTGGTGCTCCCAAAATTCTGACTCTTGCTATTATTACACTGTAGTGATAATGACCCATGAATTATTGGCCCTAATAAATTTGCAGAGGAAAAGTATGGGCCTCAGAGTCAGGCAAATTTGAGCAAAGAGACTCATCTCGTACATTTCAATTCCTCATCTTTAAATGCTCTCTAAATAAATCTATGAATGACATGCAATTCTTACTAAAATCCTAAATTGATTTGTTTCTATATGGTACATGTGTATGATTGTGTAAGTAACACAAATCGATCTTAACATTTAAATGGAAGCGCAAAAGGCTAAGAATAGCTAAGATAATTTGAGGAAGAAATAGAGAGCAGTCTTTCAGATAATTAAGGCTTTTAATACAGATTTTTCAAAACGGATAGAAAAACATATTAGAAATAGACTCATGTATATATTAAAAAGGTGGCATTATAAACGAAGAGGGAACAAATGGATTATTCAATTAATGGTACAAAGACCACAGCTATCCATACATACAGCAGAAACAGTTAAATTGGCTCTCCATTTTTTACCACACATAAAAGTAAATCCCAAGTACCTTACACTCAAATGTAAAGGCAAAACTTGGAAACTTTTGGAAGAAAACATAAGCTTTACATCTATAGGGAAAAAATGATTTTTTTAAAAAACTATCACAAACCTTAAAGGAAAACAAAGCAAGCAAAACCTTAAAGAAAAAGATTAAATTGGCGTCATTCTAATTCAAATTTGAAATCTAATTTAAATTTTTAATTTTCCTAATTATCAAAATATACCATAAACAAATGAAAAGACAAATCACAGACTGAGAAAATATACTACAGAAGATTAGCATCCAAAATTCATAACAACATTCTACAAGTCAATAAGAAAAAAAGATAGACAAAGGATATAAACCAGTAATAAAATAAATCATGTTTATTTTTAAAAAAGAAACTTAAAAAGCCAATAAACATAAGAAAAGATACACAACCTCAGCAAAATTAGTGGGAAAAATAGTTAACTCACAGCTTTAAGACTAACAGCCATATAGCCCTCACGTAGATTCATCTATTACGAACAGTCTCCCACATTTGCACACTTTCTGCCATATATATGAATTTTTGTATGTTCGATTTCTCCCATGTTTACATCTCCACACACAAACACACATGCATACATTTATTTCTGAACCATATAAAATGACCAACTCCAGACTTGAAAGCAAGGAAGCTATCAAAAACTACTATGGTCATATCAAAAAGATTTAGAAGCTCATCTGAAGCCCTACCCCGAAAATAAGACCTAGTGATGGGCGTGGCTGCACAGCACATCTGCACAACCCATGCATGTTGTCTCGGAGCGGGAAAGAACACGAGCAGCCCTTCTCATCTGCCCCATGAGAGCTCTAGTGCTCCACAGGAGAGATGGAGGCCGATGGTTCTAAAGGAAATAGAGTCGCAAGACATTCAGGTTGGGATTCGGGGTTTGGAGAATGAGCATGATGTTCCAGAAGAAGATGACTTCACTCTATTTGAATCAATGTAGATTGCTGTACCGTACTTAAAAAAAAATAACATATCCCTTGAAATAAGCCCTAGGGTGTCTTGGGAAAAATAAATATAGACCCTATCTTATTTGGGGGAAACACACTAAAAGGTGTGGGTGTGAGTGAGTGAGAGAGAGTGAGAGAGGTGAGAGAGAGAGAGAGAGAGGAGAGAGAGAGAGAGAGAGAGAGAGAGAGAGAGAGAGAATGATCCCTGTATGCAGATGACATGATCTATATGCAGAAAACCCTGAAGATTACACTACAAAAAACGTGAGAACATATGATTTCAGCAGAGTTTCAAGATTCAAAATTAACACATAAAAATCAGCTGCATTTCTCTACCTAACAAAATGACCCATAGGAAAAGGATGATTTTTTCAAAAAAGAAATTCTCATTTACTATAACATCAACAAAGATAAAATACTTCAGGGATAAACTTAACCTAGGGAGGTAAAAGAAAGACTTGTACATTAAAACTATAAACTATGCTCAAAGGCATCAAAAAGGGTACAATAAGTGAAAAGACATTCTATGCTTACAGACTGAAAGATTTAATATTGTTAAAATGTCCATACTCCCAAAGTGACAGAGTCAATGCAATCCTTATCAAATTCCCAATGACCTTTTTGCTGAAACAGGGAGAAAAAAATCTAAAATTCATATGGAATCTCAGGGATCCCAAATACCAAAACAATCTTGAAAAGGAACAACAAAGTTGGAAGCCTCACATTTCCTGATTTCAAAGCATACTACAAAGCAACAGCAATCAAGACACGCATGGTAATGACATAAATTCAAAGCTATAGACCAATGGAACAGAATACGAGCCCATACGGCCAAATGATTTTGATAAGACTGCACAATGAAGGGAAAACAGTGTTTCAAAAGATGGTGCTAGGAAAACTGATATACACATGCAAAAGAATGAAACAAACCCTATACCTTACACTATATATACAAATTAACTCAAAATGGATTAGACCCAAATGTAAAACTGAAAACTAGAAACTCCAGAAGAAAACAGGTGAAAACATCCAGAACACTGGATTGGCAAATAGATTACAAAGGCAAAAATAGACAAATGGGACTACATCAAACTTAAAACTCTGATGTCAAAGCAAACAATCAGAGCAAAAAGACAACCTAAGGGTGGGAGAAACGGGTGGTTTAAAATACCAGATATCGATTCCCTCACAGCTCTAGAGGCTAGAAATCTGAAATCAAGGTTCGGCAAGGCACCAGAAAGAAGCTGGTTTCCTTCCAGAGACTCTAAGGGAGAATCGATTCCATGCCTCTCTCCTAGCATCTAATGGCTGTTGGCAATACTTGGCATTCCTTGGCTTGCAACTATATCACTCCAATCTCTGCCTTCCTCATCACATGGCATTTTCCCTGTGTGTCTCTGTGTCCTGTGCCTTCACATGGCCTTATAAGGACAGTAGTCATTGGATTTAGGCTACTCTAATTCAATGTCCTCATCTGAACTTGCTTACATCTGCAAAGACTCTATTCCAAATATGATCACGTCAGGTACTAGGGGTTAGGCTACAACACAGCTTTTTGTGGGAACAAATTCACCCACAACAGAATTCGCCTGTCTGAATCTGCCCTTTGCCTAATATGGTGAAGATGGATTCTCCTGAAAAACCTTTCTAACTGGCCATTATTTTGAAACCACTATAAGATATGAGCTAGGAGTTAGGTATTATAGTTATATTTCTCAAAGATCTCAACACATTTTAGTGGACGGGTGTAATATTTTAAAAGTTCTTAAGCAGGAGAGCATCAATTTAGCTGAATGGCCATGTGTATTGACATTTCTTTAAGAATATAGTCTAGAAAATGGAAATATTTTCAGTGATAAATTTATATACTGTGATGATACTGTTGCTTATAATGCTAATATTAAAGATCTCAGAGAAAAATTAAGCTTAACATATAGTTTAATTCTTTTCCTATGGTTTAAAGAAAACGTGTTTGACCAACTAAAGTTGCCAGAGCATCTAATTTTCGTTAGCTGATTACTAGGCTGGTATGAGTGAGAATTCCAATTGATACAATTAGAGTA